CTCAGTAAGCTAATAAAGAATAAGAGCAAATGGTTGTGCTATTGTATTTCCCAGCTCTTTGTTCCATTCAGTTATCCGCATAACTAACATTCACCTGCACATCCAGAGTTTTCTGGCAAGAGCTGTTGTATATGCTGCAGATCTTTCTCCTTGTAACGCTATAATTACTGCAGTGTTAAGTTACTATTTCAAAAGTATTGCACATCGAAACATAAAGATTACACTTTTATTTGTGTAGGTATGCATACTCTCATTTTATCTCCCCATTGCTTTCCAGTTGGTGATTTGGTCAATTAGGATGGAGGAATGTGACAGACTCTGAAGGGAGCACTTGTGACTTGAGTGGGTATGGATTCATTAATAATAACTTCTGATTGGCTTTTTCTGGCATCATGGCCATCTGAGTGAGTAGAAGGTCACATAGTGAGCTCTTTGTAATCATAGCGGTTGTCTTGAATTATGCTCATTATAAATCTGGTTGGGCAGCTCACCCATTAGTTTTCCATATATGCTCTAAGAGAACTTGTTCAGGTAGAGGATACTTCACTGCGTAAGTCATAAGAATGGAATATATAAACAAATTACAGCGTGTTGGAAGGTGTATTATGTTTGTGATTGGTAACCTTTGTCCTATCTCTGGTCTGTGTTGCGTAAGAAGACCTGCAGTCACTCACCCTCGCTTCTCACCCCTTGAACAGGGTTCTCCAGGGAAGGGCAGCTTATTTCAGTCTGTCCAATCATCCTTTAGTTGTCCTCCTCTGCTCCCAACTGTTCCTCAAAGACATCTGCTAACTAAAAAGTCTGTGGCCTTCCCTCCTGCTGTGCTCTGATGACTTACTCAGGTGCTCTGATCGCCCCTCACAGAGCCCCCGTCACTTCAGTGTCCACTTCCTGGTAGGACATGTTATCAGACACGGGGCCTCTACTGCTGACAGCTCAATTACCCCATTTTAGTCTCTGTCCACTCCCTTCACCAAACAGCATCTAATGGCTTTAATACTGCTGGGTAATCTCCATAATACAGACAGAGAGGTTATCAGACAATTTGTCTACACTGACATTTTATCATGAATGGCAACAGACAGTCATAACTGAGGTAGGATTGTGACTACTTTAATGCAGGAAATTTTTGCCATAGATCTTCCGAGATACGATTTCTGGGCTACATTTGATGTGCAAAGGGGTTCATGCTGTTAAATAATGATAAGGTCATTTCTTGATAATACCATTCTGTAATTCCAGAAAGCATGCCCATAGCCTGACAAAAAATGGAAATGAGTATTGTATGAGAAAATGAGCTAATATTTTAAAGCATTAAAATCCAAGCACAAACAGTCAGGCTGTGGGTTCATGTATAGTTCATTCTCAGTTCTGAGTTGTAGGCCTTAGGGTAGAAATTAACTTTAGAAAAAGGTCAAATGTAAGTAAAAATGAAACTCTTTTTTTTTTGCCCACTTGGTTTAGTTTCTATTCATTTGATTTAACAACAGTCGCAAGAAATTATTGTTCCTCCGAGTGGTGTTTTCCCCAGTACTTCTTTTAAAAGATAACCATTTCTGAGCCTTTAATGACCTCTTCAATTAGCCTAGGCCTTCTATTCATTTAAAACAGCATGATATAAGAGCTTGAAGGTGGAGGGTGCAAGGTCATGGAGAACTTTTTCCCATTTTATTCACCCCCCATCTTCTCCAACTTACCCACTTCTAACATTAGTCAACTTTATTTGAGCACTCCTGTGGAGGCGTATGCGGTATACGGAGGAAAAGTGATCACAAATTCAAGTGAAGCATGCCTCCCATCTGCTCCTTCGCTTTATTCTATCTCACTAATTAGTTGTTTAAAAGAGCTCAGAGTGGACATATATGGCTGGTCTAGCCAGATGTTAGCCCTGTGTTTCGCCCCCAGGGAGGTCCTTTGTTTACTAGAGAACAAGAATATCATGCTAGCATCGGCTCATTTTAATGGCTTACCATTATACCATTTCCTATAAAGCTTTTTTTCTTACTTTTGCTTAGTATGTTATATTAAATGTTATTAAATATTAAGCACAAATACCTTTGTTCCTCTTGAGACGTTCGTTTATAATGAGACAAATTAGTGACTTAAACTGTAAATCTATACCCAGCTTAACAGCATTTTAAGGTGTTCCGTTTTAATTAAAATAATGCCAGACTGGTGTGTTAAGCCAGCTCATGAAAGAGTGCTTCGGAAAGTACACTAATAGCAGAAGCATCAGCAAAACTCTACACATGCCATCCATCCACTACTTAAACGAGGATATGGGCCTGCCATTACCCACCACAATCACTGCTCCAACAATAGAAAACCCATTTAAAAAATGATTAATTACTTTCTTACATGACATCACACAAAATCTATCTTAATCAAAGGTATGCATCAGGGGGTGAAGCAAAGTGCTTACAGTTATTTGTTATGGTTTGTGGTCACAAATTACAGGTCTTAGATGCAAATTGCACCACATCTGCATTTCTGGCAGATCCTTAAAGTCGGATCAAAATATCAGGTCGATTGTTCCAATGTTGCACGAGGGGGTAGAATACTTAACTTTGACAAAAATAAGGGAACATCGAAGGGAACATTGAATGATTGTGTGAATTATTGGTGAACACTCTTTTACCAGTTGAGGGGAAATCACTGGAGTGCTATGGCTACCTGACAGGAGGACTTACAACAAATGACTTAGTCTTGGTATAATGTTTAGTTGAACAGCTAGGGTTCATGTCCATATACATAGGCTCAAGCTTGCACAAGTGATCATTATAACTGCTTACATGTGTAGCAGGACTGTGAGCCTCTATGTTACATTTGTGATTATTTTAGCCATAAACCCCATCAGAAACACATCTATTGTCATTCATGCATTAGTTGCCATCGACTCAAATGTACACCATGCCCACCGTTTAAAGTTTAACTACCCCATTAACCTGTCCTAATAGCCTAATACCGCAGTCTTTGTGTAAATACTACTCATATTAGCTTTCTACAAAATGTCAGTCCAAATAACTGCTTTCTGTTTCCTTTGACCCTAAATGCTCCAGTTAGAAGGCCAGAACACACATTTGGTAAATGTATCTCCTCTAGTACTCCTCTGAAGGCTATTAAAAGGGCTTGCTCTGTTAAATAAACAGACAAACACACATTAGAGGGCTTCAGGACATGCTGCAAGGGAGGCTCACTCTTTGGTGCACACCATTAACTATATGAAGGCCAGGCTAGCAAAATGGGCTAGAGGGGCTAAGCCCTCCCTCTCTCTGAAGAAAAAATAAGTAAATAATGTCATATTTTTCCTATTCAGTTTTATGTGCTGTTAACATATGGCTTGACGTTTGTTTTTGTCTTTAATTTAGTAGAACCATAAACAGCAGCACCACTAGCAGTCATAAGAAAAAGAAAAGTAAAACACATATGAAGTAAAGGCTGGCGCTGAATTCTTTCCTGCCCAGTCTGTAGATTCATTCATTGTTATGTCAAGTGATTATACAGATTTTTTTTTTTTTTTTGCAATTATAATGGTGTCATAAAAGTAATAGCGAGTTACTTATGGGTCGTAAAATTGGATTTAGCCCTTTCATTCAATATCCAGACCAGCTGTCACTGAGTATATGTGACAGTGTTAAATATGGGTAATGAGCATCCAAATGACGCTACACTCAGGAAGAAATCATTTTCAATCATAGTTGAAACAATATAAATTAATTTGACATTGGATAGACTCGTGGCATTATTGGTTGTTTTAGTAATTTTGTGTATTTCTAAAAAGTCACGTTCTTCCATGTACCTTGTTCTTGCTAAAATAGTTTATTATGAAATCTTATGCTTTATACCTATATAAAATACATAATATTCGTATAATTATTCCTATTATTTATTATTTTATACTGCTAAAATTATTTTCTTTTTTCTTCCTTTTCCTCTCTCCTCCCTTCTGTTCCATATTCCATATTTGCTAAAAATTATTTATCTAAAAGACTGTAGTCTCCAAGTGCTTTCTACGGCCTCTGAGCTATTTTCCACTCGGGCAACCATGAAGTCATATTGGCACTAAACATATGGCGAGTTCTGTGTGGAGATACACTTGCAGACTGTATCGGTGTTTCAGTTGTCTTAGTGAATAACAACATGGTGGATTCAGAGCTTGATTCATGCCTGCACACATGAATTAGTGCTTTTGCTTTTCCTTCATGACCACTGAGCTGTAACGTTTCAGCTCCCCCCTGCTCCAGTGTTCTTAGGTGAATTAGGAATGGAGCTGGATTGGGAGATGAAATAGGCCTATTTGTGTGAAAACAGAGCATGGAGGTGCTTAATGTTATAAAGACGAAGTTGGATTTTTAAAAGTAATGCGAGCAAAACTTTTCCGCAAACAAAATCAAGCCGGTATTGAATTTTGCAAAAAGCCAGCCTGTAATTTGCTGCATCTGTGCTCAGAACATAGCACACTTTCATTTCAAACATTTATGTGCAGAACACGGCACATAATTCTTTATCTTTGTTCTAGTTCAAATACATTAAATACTAAATACATAAAACACAACACTAGATTCTATACTTAACCACCACATTATGCACTGAATACAAATAATGAAAGTTAGAGGTGTTTTTTTTTTTTTTTTTTACATATACATTTCACTCCCAGTTTCGTTAACAGATTCACTAGATGTAACTAGATGTGTTAGAGCAGGGAAATCATCAAACCGTGTGGGACTGTGGGCCATCTGGATTGGAATTGGCCATTCCTCATTCCTCATCAACATGGCTGCTTCTAGCTGAGGTTGGGAAGGTTTTTGTGCTCAGAATCTTTAGCATGACTTGTCTGCCATGAGGGAGGACAAGCAGTAGACTCAGCCTTCAGGCTAGAGAAAGCCCTAGCTTTTTTTTATGGCAGATGCCCTTCTTGACACAACCCTCCCCATTTTTCCAGCTTGGTACCGGCACTCAGAGTGCACTGGCTCATGCAAACCTCCAGTGGCTGGGATTAGTTCCCTGACCGGGAACCGAACCCAGGCAGCGGCAGTGAGAGCGCCGCACGCTAGCCACTAGTCCACCAGGGAACCGGAAGAATATCTATAGATAGTTTATTCACTAGGTGTATGCAGTATGTATCACTAGGTGTATGAATTCTAACAACATGCACAAGTCATTTCAAAAGTTCAGAAAGTTAGTTATAGTGGTGTGTCTTAGTGCTTAATAAATAAGCACATCAGTGGAAATGCTCTTGCTTTTTAGAATTGAGATTGAGTTGAACAGTATGTGATTTGTTGCAAAACACACATCAGAACAATAAAAAAACATAAAAGTATGTATGAATTTGTGTCAGATCCTGACACACTTCTGCACTTGTGTATGGTCCCATATGGATACCCTAAAGATTGGCTGATCCCAGGTTTCTCATTCACAATGTGCTCATACCGAACATTGCCTTTACTCTCCTACACCTGTACACTGTAATGATTTATAAGCCCACTATTCAGTGCCACTCAGAAAAGGAAGAGAATCCGGTTCCTCTCAAAGGTTCTTCCTCATGCAGTCTCATAGAATTTTTTTCTTGCCACTATCACCTTTGGCTTGGTCATTAAGGATCTAAACCTACGTCCGGATTTCTGTAAAGCTGCTTTGTGGCAATATTTATTGCTAAAAGCAAATAAATTTAAAAATAATAGTAAATTAAAAAAAAAAAAAAACTTAACTGAGCTGAACTTAATTTAGTTCATTTGTTTTGCTTTCATTAGAGTTCTGTACATATAGTTATGAGTACATTAGCAGTAGAAGCACACTAATCTAAGAACAACAGATGATCCCCATCTCCTAACATCTGCTGTTCACGAGCTTCTCTGCAGAAGTCACAAAGTCAGAATCTTCTAAATCACACTGGGGATTTAAAGTAACTCAGTGAAAAACTGGTAGGTAGGTTATTTACATTAAACAATGACAAGGGGATACTTTGCGTGACATTCTAAGATTAAATTCAGTGACCGCCAAACTAATTCTGCTAGTGGGAGGAAAGAGGCGGACATTTTGCATGAATCAGCGTAGCAAGGTGAAGGAAAGAACAGGGTGGCAGATGGATTGAATTGTGGCCAAAGTCAGGGGTCCAAGGCACTATCCTCTGAGGTATTCTGCTGTGCTCCTGGACATTATAGCAAAGTCACACAGCGGAGACGAGAATGGTTTTGGCCTGAAAGGTGGGAATTTGCAAGCAACTGGCATTAACTGAAGTTCATGTTGACAATCTGTTTATCTTTTTTTTCTATAGATGGACTATCCAAAAGTAATTACCTGAAACATACTAGACTTACGCACACTTAAGGTTGTGGATAATGTCAGGTGTCTCTACCTTGTGCACTTAGCCTTAAAACCTTACTGTTTTCTGAAATGTATAACTCGAACTGCTTTACTTTGATTTACTTTGGTCCCCAGTAAATGTGGCAATTACATGTGCAGTCGGAAGATTGCACAGTTATGACACATGTTGCAGGCGATTTACAAAAAAAATAATTGTGAAAGTGGCATCTTCATGTGAAGTTTAGGAAAGCAACATTCATTTATTTATTTATTAAAAAAAAATACACAAAATACTACCAATAAAACCAATACCGATAAAATGTCCCAGCATGTGTTAGGTCAATAATGTGAAAGAACACAGTCTCATAGGATCTTTTTAAATGCTTCTTGCATTGCAGGTGAAACCATGCAGTGAATATTGAATATAAAACCAATTTTATTACCGCAGTAATAAAAGGGGACAATTACAAATTCCGAGTATGGGTCACCAAACTTGGCTACACGTCACTTCACTTCACTTTAGATTTTTAAAAAAAATGTTTGATTATTTTGAGATACTATGGCATATTCTTTTTATAAACCATAGTATATGGTTTGATTTTGTCTTCAAATAGAAATATACCACAAATTTAACACTTGCCTGTCAGTCATATTAATTTGCTAATGCAATTGCTGTGACACAGTAGGAACTAGATTAGCCTATTTATATACAGTATACGTCAACCTGTACTTTGCTGGAAATTGCATATTCATTAAAGTCAAATGTGCAGAACAGCAAGATGTGATATTTGGCTCACTGGGAACTTTGTTTTAATTAAGTTCACAGATTTCTTTGCACGTGCAAACATTTGGTAAATCATTGCCTATGACAAAAATGGATGTGAATAAAATCAGCAAGTAATTTATAAGAAATAAGATGAAGTACTATATCATTCTTCCATGAGCTCTTGCTTAGCTCTGGGCTGTTATATCTAATGGTCTTGTTGACATAACCCTTTCTTGTTGTGATCCGAAAGAGCCAGATTTAATAGGTAGGGTCATCAATGGCCAAACTTGTCCACTGTGTCTGGCTCTAAGAATGCAATTATTGATTAGTGTGCAATACCAATTGTGGTAATTAATGCCCAGGTTATATGGAGAGGACGGGCATAGACGTGTGGGCCATTTATCACTCCCTGTGCTTGTTTGTTCTCAGCCCATTGAACCAGCACTCCGGCCTTGATGAGTGGAATTTTAATGGCTGCCAATTCGCTGCCCATATGACAAAATGAAAAAGTCTAGAGGTGTGCAGGGTCAGATCAAGATATCAAAAGTGATACTAAGCAATTGTCTATTGCTTTCTCTCTCTCTCTCTCTCTCTCTCTCTCTCTCTCTTTCTCTGCAATAATAATCTATCACCACTGATTTGTAGAATAGTTCATAACAAAGCATACATTTGACCTTTTGGATGCACATATATATAAACACCTTCCTCTTTTCTGCTTTAGCTAGCTAGGCTTATGCCATACCATTGTGGTTGGCTACCAGTGGACCCCTCATGCAAGCTCCTAGTTTCAGCACTCACACACTCCATATAATCTCCTGAGAGAAAAGGAAGAAGCTTTATTCCATATGAATATATATCAACATCCTCCAGTAATGGACAGAGAGTGTCTAAAGGACTAATATCTTAATACCAGCAAACACGTGCTACTTGTTCTGTAATGACGGCAACCCAACAAGGAACATTTTATATGCCTGATCAGCTTGATCAAAGCAAAATAAATGCTGGCTAAAGAGCGTACATGAATATAGAGGAAGAAAAAAAATGGCGGGAAACCATCAAAAAGATGTAAGAGATGTCTTACCATATTCATATTTCAGCAACTTTCGCATGCACCTCATGCTGTGAGTCTTAGCAAGTGGGCTAAGAGATGATATTTTGCAGACTCCCATGGGGTCTAGCAAGTGGATTACTTTTGATAAAGTGCTTAAGGCTGATGAAAGATCATGGTGGATGATGATGTAGCATTTTAGCGAGAAGGAAGAAGAAAGGCAAAGAAGAAGGACTGGGGAGAGATGGGAGAAAAAGAGTGAGAGAGAGAGAGGGGGGGAGAGAAATGAGTCTTCTTTGCAAATGGCTAATTGAAAACATAAATGTCAACAGAGGAGCGAGACAGAAGCAGGAGGCATTGAGCAGAGAGGGACACTGGGAATACTAATGAAGCTCCTCATTATTACCAATACATTTAACTAACTAACAGTGTACAACACAATTAATGCTGGAAGTGTGTGTGTGTGTGTGTGTGTGTGTGTGTGTGTGTGTGTGTGTGTGTGTGTGTGTGCGGTGTGGGTGTACATTATATACTTATACAGCTCATAGGCCTGACCCATTGTTCAACTGTTTTGTACTGTCACTTGGATTAATAATTATTATTTATTGTTGCTTTGAATCTTTTCAGGCTTATGTGCTAAATAAAATCTTTGTGTTCATCATGTCAGAAATGTCACAGTACGTATCACAGGAAAAGACTTATCAGTAATATCTGAGAAATGATTTGCTCATATTTCAGATCAATAATGAATGCGTGCTGCAGTTCCTGGTGGAGGATATAGGCTGTGGACAGCCACGGTGTCGATTTGAAGGAAGAGATGTAAGAGAATATGACAGACTGCTGACCTTTCCAACTGATCAGAACCGCCAATGCAGATGACAAATAAACCTTTAAGTCAAGTAAAAGTGCTGACTGAGAGTAATATACAACTCCCTCTTCCCTCTGATCCTCCCTTCTCGACTTTTCTCCTCTCTCTATGTCTCTGTCAATCCTGAAAGATTTCTTCTCTCTAGCAGAACTCTTTTTTAGATTTTCAGGGTCACACAGAAGAAACTCAAATGAAATTAATTCCAAAGCCACTGAATTGACAAAATGAGAACGATAATATAAACAGCTGCAGGATTTTATTTTTCCTGCGCCGTAAATAAGCTCAGGTTTAGGTTATCTGATGACCAAGGCAAATCAGAAAAGGCATCTAGACATTCTTGTGTCATTTGCTGCAGATCTGGCCAAAGCCAAATCAAATGCATATCAAATGCATTAGAGCATGCGAGGAAGGAGATGCAATGAATTTAAATATCAAACACTAAGGAAACAAACCCTGCTTACGATGTACACACAATCCTGAATTGTTTGTGTCTCAGCAGACTAGTCTCATTTTGATTTACTACCTCGATCTGTCTCTATCCAGCAGCATGGTGCACTATTTATGAGGGATTGCAAGGCCTTGTATCACCCTGCATTGTCTATTTACTTGAATTAGTTGGAATATATGTCTGTGAGCTTGTGTGTGTGTGTGTGTGTGTCTGTGTGTGTGTGTGTGTGTGTGTGGGTGATGGAAAGAGAGAGAGTGTAACCAATACTGACCAACATCATTCTGTATTCTCATTTGGACAGGGCTCTGTGTGTGTGTGTGTGTGTGTGTGTGTGTGTGTGTGTGTGTGTGTGTGTGTGTGTGTGTGTGTGTGTGTGCGTATCATTGTTCTGAAACTTGGCCTTGGTTTTATTTGAAATCTGGTGTTGGCACAGTGCACAATGATACCTGACACTCATATGATTAAACTTTTGGTTAGGATATATTTGATGGTAATTGAATATGAAACATATTTTCATTTTGAACATAAATACTGTCAGCTGAGACAAGTAGGATGAGAGAATGCATAATAATGATAATAATAATATTAATAATAATAATAATAATGGGAGAAAATGGATCCAGTGAGTTTCTGACATCA